CAGATTCTGTCACTGGGCATTTCGGGGAAAGCTGTTAATGATGCAATGAACAAGAGTCTAATCTTAACCCCCCTGGAGTGAGTGGTGCTCCCTGGCCCTCCCACCTTTACTTATTTCCTGTCTCCCAATGCCTCTGGGGCCTCCTGCCTCCAAAACTGGCACACAGGAAGGAGCTACAGGATCCCAGCTTCCTCTCTGCCATCAGCCTGGCATGGGGTTGTCTGCAATGCCAACAGGTGATAAGATGACAGGACTTTTTGGAGCTGGACTAGGATACATTTATTTATTTAGGAACTGGGTGAATCCTCACTATTGGGCCTGCAGGGCCTGAGCACAGAAGGCTCTGACAGAGACAAAGACCCCCACTGAGTGAGGAGACAGGTTCTGAGTGAGGGGGGGTCAGGCCCTGCGAAGCCTGCCTTCCAACAATGCCGTCATCCCCAGAAGGGCGTGCTTGGAACGTAATGGCTCTAGCTACAAATTCTATTAACTCTAATAGTTGTTCTGTGGTGAATGGATAATGCATTTAGCAGAAATAGACCCAATCAATTTATATGAAACACATAAAACTTTCCCATGGAATTGGCATCTGTCCTTGAATCATTGGAGCGTGTGTGGAAACGGACAGTCTGTCACCCTTACTTCTGGGCACATTAGCAGTGCCATGGGTTAATTAGAGAGATGGGCCAAATAAAGCTCTGGCTACGTTATGCCATATCCCTTCAGCCCTTAGACCCAAGAAGCTGGGATGGGGAGGCACCTGGAGACTGTCTACCTCAAACCTTGACTTTTGAAAATAGCAGTTTTTCCGCCCTTGTCTGTGTTAATGTTAGCCCCTCTCACAAGAGACCGGCTACCTGTGGGTTTGCTGACAAGCCCCAGCCATCAGACTAGGGGGAGGAAGCCGTAGAGGACCCGCCCCAGGAGCACAACTTGCCAGTGCAGGCCAGCCAGGGCTGTGCACAGGGGTCTGACTCCTGGTCCAGTGCTCTTTTCATGATCCTATGCATTTTTAATTGTCCCCCACCCTTTGGCAAGAGATGTGTACGCAGAAAATGGTAAACCAACTGTCACCAACCGTCACCAACCAACTCAGAGGCAAGACTGGTTTGATGCCAGGGCTCCACTAGTTACAGGTACTTGTGGGTTGGGCCCAAGGTTTGGGTTGGTTTTCACATAAAATGAGCTGATTCCCTCACACCCTCACTACATATGTGGGCGCAGGAGAAGGGGGGAGGGGTAAGGAAGTTGAGGCAGGGACCTGGGCCCTGGGGTCCTGCCTGCCCATACCTGGGCTGTTGCGGGGGGGGGGTCCTGCTTGTACCTCCTTACCCCTAACATTCACTGCTGCGACAGAGAGAGAGAGAGAGACAGAGAGGAATAGAGCTCTGCAGCCCCGTGATTGCATTATCCCAACCATTTGGTTAGCGTAATTGTATGTGCAAAGCTGACAAATGTAATTTCCCCAGACTTAATACTTGCCCCGTTTTCTCTCTTAGTTTCTTCATCTGATTAGCTTAAGTGACTCAGAGGCTTCCGAGAATGCTTCGTGAAGCACCTGGAGAAGCTTCTCCCTGCCTGGGTGCTCCAGCGGCTCAGCTCGGCCCTGTGGCGGGGGCATGAGGGAGTTGTCCTCACCCCCAGAGGGTCAGGCCCTCATCAATGGGGAGGGCTGGCTTGTGGCACGTGAGGAGTGTTTAGGGAAACTTAGGAGCTTTGTGAGTGACTGTTTTCAGAAGACCCGATGTGGCCTTTGCGTTTCGAGGAGTTGCTCTAATGCCTGCCAGGAGGAGACTTGAAATGCCACCAGCTGCCCTTGTTCCAGCCCAGCAGAAACTTGACAGCACTGAACTTTGGGAAGAAAATCTTATTATCTTGTCTCTTCCATCCTTTGTTGGAGGGCCGGAGCTGATCTGTTTACTGGTCACGCAGGACCCCTCGTCTTGGAAGCTCTCCCCGCTCTTTTCCATTTTAGTGTTGATCTCTGATTGGACTTGGACACCTAGAAGTAGCTTAGTTGGCTGAAAGAATGCAGACTTTGGGGCCACATCCTGGCCCCATGCCCTACCAGCTGTGAGACTCATATTCTAGACCACCTTCCTCATCCCTACAATGGTGATAGCAGCAGCCGTCCTTGGGCCAGATGGACTAGACGAGGTGACGTGTGAAACACCTGGCCCAGGGTCAGGCATGCTTGCTGATTGCTCCTCTCCCTCCCTTCCTCTCCCGGGGGCCCTCCCAGGTGGAAACTCTGAGTCAGATTAAGCTTCACCTTGCAGGCCATGACCTGCTGGTTCACAGGCTGCCCTCCTCCATGGGCCAGAAGCTCCAGAACAGTGAGTAGTGGCTCACCTTGTCCCTGTCGTAGCCGCACAATGCTGGGGTTGTGGGAGGTGCCAGGCAAACGTCTGCTGGGTGATTATTTCTGCGTGGGTGTGGCCCTGACCTTGGCATCTCCATGAGCCCGCTGGACCTCTCCTCCTCCAGGACCCCCCTCTGCACGGCACTTCCCTGGCTGCTTGGCCTTAATCATTTGTCTACTTGCCCTCTCCTCCCCTATACTGTGAGTTCTTTGAGCTCCTGACCTGGACCCTGTTCTGCTCAGCATCTCTGAGCACTGAATCAGCCACAGAGGAAGTATGAGAGAACTGTGGGTCTAGATTAAAGTTGGGCGTGGGTGGGCCTCAGCGCGGACACAGGACCTGGCCTGTTCTCCCTGACTGTGAGGCTGAGTCCTGGCCAATGTCAGAGCCTCAGGGCCTCAGTGGATGTCATCCTGTGGGTAGTGGGGAGAAGAGGCCCTGCTCCCCCAGCCCCCTGTAAATGCTCCCAATGAAGACAAAAACACCCCCACTCCCACCGCTAGGGCTCTGCAGCAAGGTGGGACTGGCAGATCTGTCAGGATGGGGGAGACATACGTCCTGCTACTAGAACACAGTAGGAGAAGGGGTGTTGGGAGCCTGACTCAGCTTCTCCCTCTCCTGAGCTGATCCTTGATGTGGCAGTGTTCCTAGGAAAGCACTGGCTCTTTATTCAGTGCTCCGAAGCCTTCCCGAGGAGCCTACTAAGACCGCCTGGGGATGTACTGGTTCAGTGTCTTCTTCCCTTCGAGTTGAGGTCACTCTGGAAGGGGGTCTGGAGACAGAACGCTGACCCATGGCCACTTGCCTGTCACTCCTGCTCTGAGGTTGGGGGCTGGGCAGCGGGGGAGGCTCGCGTTCCAGCCATTGTCATCTCCAGCCTCTCTAGCAGCCACTCGCTTCTAATTTTATTTGGAGGTGGTGGGGGAGCATCTCTGCTTTTGAACCGTGGTGTGATTTCATTAGTCTGAGTGGCCATTGGGCAGGCCCTTATCGATTAGCCTTTTAGGGACAGTGGGAGTTACATGGCAATAAACCTGGGAGTCAGGCAGGGTGGATGGCTGTTTCCTAAATGCTGGCTGCAGGGAGCTGGCTGCTGACATCCGAGAACTGAGCTCAAGTGTCAAGCGCCCACCAGTCAATCAATAAGTGTTTCTGAAGCCCCTGCTATGTGATCAGTGCTGGTGGTTAGGCCGGTGGGGCTTGCCACGATGTTTGCTTAGCAGGTCCTGAATTTACCATGGGGAAGAGGTGGTTGACCAAGAGCCAGAAAGTAATGGAGGGGAATCACTGGGCTGGGGGCGTGAACAATTCGCAGAGAAGGCTGCCTCCCTTGTGTTAGATGTTTTCATGGACCATGAGGCCGAGTGGGGAAATAGAGAGAGATGGTAGTTCTGGAGGCCAGGTTCTCCTTGTGTGGAAAAATGAAACGGTTTTCTGAGGCTCTGGTTAAGGCAAAGGGAGGAAAGGGGAGAGGCGATGGGAAAAGTAAGGAACTCTTTCCCCTAGTTTGGCAGCTGGATTAGATCAGGCAGGGATAGGGGAGGGATGAGAGTTAGTCCCAGGGTGGCTTTTCAGAGGGGAGAAAGGAAAGAATTTCTTCAAAGGGAAAGCAAAGCTAATATTTACCTAATAAGTCGACAATTTAGTGGAGAATGTATAAGCCTCTACTTTTTTTTTCATGCTTGGCACTGTTTAAACAAGGATTTCACATTATAAGTAGAAAGGAGAGATTTATCACTTATCAATTGCTATTTTAATAAAGAATTATCTTTTATAGGAAAAAGAGTGTGGGTGGATCGCGTGCTGTACAACTCCTCCAGGTGACTCTTGTCGGAAGAAGATTCTCGTGCCCAGGCAACAATGCCCACCTGGGGGAACCCTCTGACTTGCTGGTGTCAGGCTGAGTGGCCTTAATCAGCTTCTCTGGGGCTTGGCTCACAGCCTCTGACTTAATAACTCCCGAGGAACATCATGCTGGGTTTGGAGACTGAATCCAGGAGATTTCCTGCTGGTACAAATTGTAGCTGAGAAGCCACCTCCATGGTTTAGGGCCAGAGGCTGCAGAGGCCTGTGTTTGAAGCAGCAAGAGCCCCCATGAGAAGTCTTTCAGCCTGGGGGATGCTGAATTGAACAGCTTTGGAAAGGAGCCAAGCTTTGTGTGACCTGTGTTGAACTGTGTTGAACCAGATGCTTTGGGGGCTTTACCCTTGATGGGGCAGCCTGCCTTTGTGCAACAGATAACCTTGGCCTGGGGCCCAACTCTCTTCAAAAAGAGGAGAAATCAGAGGGAAAGTTCGCTTTGTTCAGTAAATGAGGAGTGGTATGAGGGGACTGAGGTGAGGAAAGGATACCAGCTTGGTTCTCCCATTGGTGTCGGGGCCTGGGTGTTCCCCAGGCATGGAGGAGAGCTGCTCCTTTGCACAACTTCCAGAAGCTCCATTTGCTCAGGCAGTAAAAGAACCAAGCAGCTTCCTCTTGGAGCCCCATAGCCAGGGGGTAGGTGGTGTTCCTTCTAAAGGTTGACTATTTTATTCTTTAAACATAGCTCCCCATCCCAATCACATCACAGCACACATCTTTCTTCTGCCTTTTGCAACAAAAAATTGCTTTGCTCAAATTTGTAAGTTGAACCCTTACCTGTAGGGTCAAAGATGGGGGTCTCTCTTGGTGTATTTTCCCAGGGTTTCGGCTCCTTGTTTGAGTTTCTCTCAAACAGATTTCTTGATTTGGGTGCTGTATTCTGTGGCGTCTCGTCCTCCCCACTGACTGGAATAGAGAAGACACATGCGCTGAGTCAGATGAGGCTCAGGTTAAGGGAAAGAGGTGAGTTTGCCCCTGGGAAGGTGGGAGAGACAGTCGGGCTTGGGTTAAGGAGGAATAGTGAGGCCAGGGTAGTCTGGGTTGGGGACAAGTGCCAGGGACAGGGTGAACTCACTGGTGAGGTAGCAGTCCAGGCTGATGGAGATATTGTCAAAAGCCACGGTGGCTCTGGATCCTTGTCCCCACCATGCGACAATCTGCAGCCAGAACCTGTACATGAGTTAAGAGGAGTGTGTGAGGTACAACCTGGCTTGGTCATGTCTTAGGATTCAGCACCAAGCAAACATGTGCTGATACCCGGCTCATGACTGTCGTTTTCATCAGCCTCACCTAATCTCACAGAAGTTGCAAGAGGGGAGCAGTCACCATCTCCTCCCACTCCTCCAGCACAGAGTACTTCCCTTTCTGAGGGAGTGCTCCATATGTTAATCCAATTTGGAGTTTTGGGCTTGGGTCCCGGACTCCCTGAAACTCTGAGGAGACCTCTTTCACCTGATGGGTGTGCAGGATGGGCTGAAATGGGTAGCCTTGATATTCAGCTGGTGCTCCCCAGCGGAGCTGAAGTCATTACTAAAATATTGAAATGCTTCTGGCCCAATTGATAAGGAGCCGCTGTCCCCAGAGTGTCTCCTGCTTGTTGCCTCAGGCAGCCTGACTCCCTCCCTGGTTCCCCCTGGTTTTCCTCATAATCCAGCAACCAAAATGTTAACCCCTCACAGGGCAGAGATCTCAAGGATCTGTGTCTTGCACAGACAGCATCAGTTCCGATTGGGGTTGGTCTGTGCAATGCCTGACTAGTTAAATATTAAATGAGTTGACTATGATCCCTGGGAGTGTTTGTAACCAACACAGAGCGGGCCATAAATGTTAACAGTAAACCCACTGAGATATTGTTGCTTTCCACCTCTTTCATAGCCTTGGAGGGTCAGGTCCTGCACTGTGGCCAGGGAAGGCTGTAGAGTGGGATAAACAGAAAACATCTTTGGTTCATTTGTTTCCTAGGAAGCCATCCTCCTGGAAGGCTGTTAGTCAACCAGCCCTGCCCTACTGTAAAGTGTGAGTTTCTTAAGAACTTGAAAAACCTTTCCCAACTTTCAGCAAGTCAATCCAGATTGACCCGCAGAAGAAGATGCACATCTGATGTGGATGTTAAAACACCCTCAAGAGAGGGAACCCATGCCCATCAATTGGTGACTGGATAAACCACATGTGGGATGGCCACACAGTGGAATGCTATTCCCCAGTAAAAGAGAACAGACCAGGAGACAGGCTATAAGATGGATGAACCTCAAAAATATTATGCTAAGCTAAAGAAGCCAGACAATAAGTTAAAGAGCTCGTGATTCCATTCGTATAAATGATTCCATTTATAGGAAATGTCTAGAATAGGCAAATCTACAGAGACAGCAGATTAGTGGTTGCCTGGGGCTGGGAGTGGGAATAGTATCTACTGTAAACCAGCAAAAGGGCTCTTTTTGGGGTGATGGAAATATTCTAAATTGGATTGTGGTGCTCTTTGCAGAATTCTATAAATTTGCTAAACGTCATTGACATGTACACCTAAAACAGGTGAATTTTATGGTACGTAAATTATAGCTTGATAAAACTTAGAAAAAAAGGAGAGAGAGAGGGAACCCAGACAATAGAGTGTTGGCAGCATGGGGGAACAAGAGCAGAAAACAGGAGCGTGGGCAGGAGTGGGAGACTGACAGTGTGGAGGAGGCGGGGCAAGGAGGGCACAGGAACTAGAATGTTAACAGAGGGAAGAAGGGCATATAGGAAAGAGACAGGCAGGAGAAAGAATGTTCACTCACAATTTTTGCAGTGAGGACAGCAAAGCTTTACAGTCAATGAGTGAACTGCTGCTGGGGCTGGAAGCCCCTGTTATACCCATGAGCAGATGACCTCTGATCAACATGTAGAAGAGTTAGACTTTGGCTTGGTTACTCCTGGCCAGAACAATTATTGCCTCCTGTGGGGGAAAGACTTGAAATCAAAAGCAAACTTTTATCTAAATAGTACATTTGTGATTGATTATTCTCAACTAAACTACTCAGTAAATCTGTCTATGCCTTCACCTATCTTGTGCAATCTGATCATTCGCAAATAATCCTTCCTGTTTGAAAGTCACAATTAGAGGGCACAAATCCGGTTCAATTCTAAAGAGGAAATGCCTGACTCTGTTGTACCCATGGCCAACCCCATTGGTGCCCTTCAGGCCTCATTCCTCATGGTGGGGTCTACATGCCCCCCTTAGTCAGGATGGACCAGCAAGGAGGGCTGGTGTTTGGTTGGGCATGGAAGGAGGAGCGCCCAGTGGAGAATTCCCAAATCCTCTTTCAAGACACCTGGGCAGGATGGATGAGTGTGTATGAGGGATGGCCAGCACAAGAACCCACCCACTTGTTCAGCCAGCTCTCGGCACTTAGGCATATGCCTCTGAGAGGCATCTTTTATTATGACCCTGACAAGCATAATGACCTTGATTATGACCTATTGAATTGATTTTCATTTCATACACACCTATCGAGTATTAGCCCCTATTTTAGGCCTATGGGGGATTCTAAGAGAAATCAGATGGGAATGCCCCATTCAAGTTGCTTACTGTCCAGTGGAGAGAGGAAGAGTGTATTCATTAGTGTAGAATAAGATACAAGGAGGTAAATGCCACAGAAGAGATGCATATAAAATGCCCTGAGAGCTCAGAGGAAGGAGGAATTCCACCAGGCTGGGGAGATAGGGAGCACTTCACAGAGGAGGTGGTATTTCAGTTGGTTCTGAAGGAAGGAGAGGACTCAAAAATGTGGATATGAGGATGCATAGCAGTGATGAGAGGGCATCTCCAGTAGAGGGGCGTGTCAGAGCAGGAAGGGCGCCTCTGGCTCAAGTGTGAGGGGTGTGGAAGGAAGTAAGATGGTGAGAGGCACATGTTCTTACACACCTGCATCAGGTTTCTCCATGAGTCTCGGCAAATCACAGCCACGGTTTCCCCAGATCTCCACGGGGAACACAGTCCACAGATGACCTCCTGGCTTGAGCCTGTATAACCTCAGAAAAGCCAGGCCCGGGATTCTCAAGTGGCAAACGGAGGCCTTAATACTGCTGTCTTGTTCTCTTTACAGCCAGGGTCGCCAGGGTTAGGGAGATGCTGCTCCTAGGCAGCAAGAGAACAGGCACATGGAGCTACTTGGAGACGGTGACTAGAAAGGATCATGTTCCTGGGGGGATTAGCAGTGGGTAAAGGCCCCACAGCCCACCTTTCCAGTTCTCCACTCTGGGTCATCATCTCCTAATCTGTCATCCACAGGCCGAGGGGCCACGCTAGGCGCTGATCTCAGTGCTGAGCACTTCATGCGTGTACCTTCCAGGAGGGCCTGGGGGTCCTGAGCAAGTAAACTACATGTGTGTGCCTATTTACCGTGGGGGAGAGGGACATAATCCCTATGTCCCGTACACGGGCCCTTTCGGGGAAGTTGCACATCTCCCCTCCCCTCCCTGCACTCCTGCCCTCTCTCTGCCTTCCTTCTTTATTACTGAGAGATTAGAGCTGCAAAGTTCTCAACCAGCCACTGGCCCTCTTATTATTGATGGCATAATGCAAGCTGGGGCTGGAATGGTTTCTAAATAGAAGAGTTTCTAAAGCGCTCTGCGAGGCAACGGCAATGGCAGCTGCTGTTTAAAAGAGTTTGATTGACACTGAGAATTGCACATATTTTGAGTCAGGAACACACATAACAATCAGGGAAGGCTCAATCAGATGTCGAATCAGATGGAAACACGTAATGCTACCTCCATCCACCCAGGAGGCCACATTGCCAACCCTTCCCCAAATGCTCCAGGCTCCAGAGGCTGCAGGGAAGGGACAGGTGGGACAAAGGTGGGTCATGCTGGGGCGTGGGGAGGGCAGGGGTGAAGAAAGGCAGCCTGGGAATGGGGTCTGGGGATGGTAGGTGTTGAGGCAGGGAGGGGACAGAGGAACCAATGTAGCAGTTTCTTTTCTGTGGGAGCACTGACCAAGAGACCAGGTGGCCATCAGGGCCACCCAGGTTCAGGCTTCTCTGCTTTGAATGGTACCTGATTGTATGCCTTTACCTGAACCTTAGGTGAAGAAGAGATTGCTCCTGGCTCTGCTCACCCTGTCCCTGTTGGAGGTGGGCAAGACTTCCTCAAGGCTTTCAGAGCCTTTCTGGTCCAATCACTCTTTCCTGTTGAGCCCCCCCAAAAGTATAGATACCAAATCACTCTCCAGAGTCAGCCACAGCCTCAGGTCTCAAGTTCTAGCATGTACCAGGCAGATTGCTCTGAGACTAAGAGGAACTTCTAGCATGTATCAGGTGGAATGCTCTGGATCTGAGGAAAAGTTCTAGCATATACCAGGCATACTGCTCTGGGTCTGAGGAAAAGTTCTAGCATGTACCCAGTGGACTGCTCTGAGACTGAGAGGAAGTTCTAGCATGTACCAGGTGGACTGCTCTGAGTCTGAGGAAAAGTTCTAGCATGTACCAGGTGGACTGCTCTAGGACTGAGGACAAGTTCTAGCATGTACCAAGTAGACTGCTCTGGGTCTGAGGGAAAGTTCTAGCATGTACCAGGTGGACTGCTCTGGGTTTGAGGGAAAGCAAGGCCCATGCCACATTACTGTCAGGATCGCAGAGGCCAGGTGGTTCTCAAAAACATATAGGTTACTCCACTACTCCTTATCTCAAAGCTTTAGCTCTGTGTGGGGAAAGGAAGCTGAGCCCCCATGGCTAGAAGATCCTTGCCCTCCCTCTCTGTGCACAGCCTGGGCAAGGAGAAGGGAAGAGCCAGCTCTTTGGGGCTGTTCCAGCTCCCTCACTGATCTGTGCTATTTAAGAACATGGTAGCTGAGCTCCCCTCTTTCTAGCCCTTAGCAGTGGAGATTTCACTTCCTGCCCCTCAATAGTTCACACCTGCTCAGCGCTTTTGGTTTCTCCAAAGAAGATACTTTTGATTGTACGGGTTGTTGTTGCTTTTTCTCTTTTTTTTCCAGCCGCTGGGGTTTGGAGCTTGTTGCTAAAACAGACTTGGCTAGAGATCTTGGTTGGAGCTTGGCTTTGCATAAAGAATGCACTCCCCAAGTCTGTCTTGCTCTGCTTTACAGAGAGGCCTGTTGAAAATTGGCCCTGGGGGGATTCTGGGAGGTGGCCATTGATGCAATGGGCCAGGCTTAGAGGGGGTGGCCTTGGAAT